TTTGCGCAGTGCTGTTTCGCTGAAACAGTGGCTTATGGGGTCGGCTCTTGTATGATGTGGGCCGGCATTTCCTTCGACGGTAAAACCGAGCTTGTTTTCGTGCCTGGCGGGGGACGAGGAGGCGGTCAACTTCGGACGGGTACATTTCCAATATTCTGCTGGAACATGTCGTTCCCTATGCGGGATATGCCGGTGATAGCTTCCTCCTTAAGCACGATAACGCTCGTTGTCACACTGCCCGTGGAACAACTGAATACTTCGAAGAAGTCTATATCGCCACATTGGACTGGCCTGCGCTCAGCCCTGACTTGAATCCTATTCAGCACGTGTGGGATGAACTGAAGAATAGGGTTCGTTCCAGAACTTCTGCTCCTTCATGCCTGAATGAGCTGAAATCGGCGTTGATTGAGAAGTGGGAAGGTATCCCACAAGAATCAATTCAAAAGCTGATCAGGTCTATGAAGAATCGTCTTCGAGGAGTTATTAGGGCAAGGGAAGGGAACACAAAGTACTGACATTTAATTTTAAGGCTAAATAAAATTTTTATTTATTAATTTTTGTTGTTTTATGCATTCATTATTTTTCCATATTTCCTTTGTTTCCTACCTCCTTCACTTAATCCGGAATAGCTCCTTAACGACTGGCTCGATTTGAATGAATTTGGTATCAGTTTAAAGTTAAGAGTTCAACCTTTAAAATGATCTCATTTTTATGATTATCAAAAAAATATTTAGTACACAAGATCGCGCGGAATCAATTTCAAGTAAGTGATTCCAAACTTTTGCTCGCGAGTGTAGTTGCAAAGGCGTTATTGAAAGGGTCATACTCCGTCATACATACAAAAAGCCCGTTGCACCGCACATGGGCTGCGTCAAAAACAATAACCATATTCTTGTAAAAACAGAGAACACAAAGAGAAAGTGGGTTTTATTTGTTTTAGTTGTCTCAACAAGAGCAGTGCTTCGCAGAATCTACCACCGGATCGGAAACGCGACCCACTGAGAAGATCCGCCGAGAAACTCAGTGGGATATGTCTATGGGTTAATTTACTCGTCGAGCCCTTCGTCGCAAGCGACGGGTTCGGCGAAGACGGTGACCGGTGTTTGAGGTACCTAAAAGCACCGTTAATAGATCGGGAGGATTCGTAATGACGATATTAGGGCGACGTCCACTGTTTACCATTCGGTCCACAGGATCGAGTATGTAGATGTCTCAGTCCTCGGATTAGCAGTAAAGATAGCCCATGGTAGCTGTCGGATTCATGTTCCAAGGATCAGTTTTAGGCAGCGGGTCGCTTCGACCCGGTTTTTGCTTGTGTCTAAAAACCTTTGAACTGTGGTACGGCCGCATAGTCAGTCCTTGACTTTATCAGATGAACAATTAGGGTCGATTTCGGCGTAACACTGCAGAATTGATAGGGTATTGCATCCGCTCGCCGGGCATAACACAAAGCTCGATACGAAATGCTAGTTTTTTTTTACGATTGAAGGATTACTGGTGGCCCGGAGGCCTTTCCAGTTTCACCAGGACAGGTGGGCGAGCAAAGGCTCAGCCAGGAGGGGTGGGATTTGCTAACAACTGCCCGAGCGCCTCCGAAGGAGACCTAACAACTCAAGAGCAACTTCTTCGCGAATGAATCTAGTACCGGATCGGAATCGCGACCCGCTGAGAAGATCCGGCGAGAAGCTCAGCGAGCTGATTCATGGGTTAGGTTGCACGGCGAACTCTTTGTCGAGTTCGACGAGTACGGTTACCGGGGTCTCTAAGCCTACTCCTTGTGTTAGAGCTGAAGGCGTCTAATGCAAAGGTTATTGGATCTGATGGATCCGTAAGGACGTGGGAATGGTAGTATCAATGGTTAAGTGGTTTTGGTTTTTAATAAATCAGATTTGATGTTATAATTAAAAAAGGAGCTTTAGATAAGGTTGAGTTGTAGATATGTAGATAGCTCTGCAGCGAAAAAAAAAAACAGTCTTCTAATCTGACCGATAAGAAACAGTAGTTTATTTTCGTCAAAGCTATGAGCTCTCACGACTGTCAAGTTGATAAAAATGACGCTTCAACTGACCCCAAACAGTGCGACTGCTAAGTAATCAATAACTGCTAATAAGTAATCAATAACATATCTTTTCGTGTACTTCGTCAATCTTATTGCAAATTTGCATTTTAACAGACTTCACTTTTACTGGTCGTAGGACCTGTTGTGAGTCCGCGCGGGTAGGTACCACCGCCCTGCTTATTTCTGCTGCAAAGCAGTAATGCGTTTCGGTTTGAAGGGTGGGGCAGCCGTTGTAACTATATTTGAGACCTTAGAACTTATATCCAAGGTGGGTGGCGCATTAACGTTGTAGATGTCTATGGGCTCCAGTAACCACTTAACACCAGGTGGGCTGTGAGCTCGTCCACCCATCTAAGCAATAAAAAAAAACAAAAAAAGAAGAGTTTCTCAATTCGACTGTATTTGTTTAGTGTGTGTTACTACTAAACTTTAACGCATTACTGCTTCACGGCAGAAATAGACAGGGTGGTGGTACCTATCCGCGCGGAATCACACGACATCCTACCACCAGTAATAATTTGTGTACTCGAAGAAATAGAATGCTCCCATTTTTTAAATCAGATTTTTAATTTTTAAATAAAAAAAATCTAGCTCTATTCTAGCAATAGTACTCTAAGGCTGGTTTATGAAAAAATAACCAAATCCTTGAAATAGCCTATTATTTATAACTTAAGATAATAATATGTAAACTACTAAAAGCAATGAGCTTTATAGTCGGATAAATAAATCATTTTTTCTAAATTCACAAAATACGGTTTTCGCTCAAAACCCACACACTGACTCCTAAAGCTTAATCTACATTCGTCCTTGAACTATAAATCGAACAAGCACTTGAGATAGCGGACCTAATGACCGCTTAAAGAGACCGTAAAACAGTAAGTGACCTATAATCTAATCTATCAGCCGTTGAGTTTAGAATCGGCTCGTAAATGATACAAATAGTGTAGGCGAGATATTGTATTTGAGCTTTTTTATCTATTGCTCAAATGGGGGACGAGTTCTCGGCCCAGCTGGTATTAAGTTGTCACTGGAGCCCATAGACATCTACAACGTAAATGCCGCCACCCACCTTGAGACGTGAGTTCTAAGGTCTCAGTTTTTAAAGTACATCGGGTGCCCTGCCCTTCAACCAGAAACGCATTACTGCTTCATGGCTGAAATATGCAGGGTTGTGGTACCTACCCGTGCGGACTCACAAGACGTCCTACCACCAGTAACTACATAAATCAGTAATTATAATTTTGCGGGTTTGGTTTTTGTTGCACGATGTTATTCCTTTATTGTGCATTGTGCAATATATGAAGCACAGTGAAACGCAAAACTAGTCATAAATTCCATGATTAAATGAAATATATAATTTCAGGTCATTAAAACTACTTCTACGGTTTCAGATCGTAATTTAATTTTATTACAAACCGTAAAAATAGTTTTAATTGTGTCGTGGACTCGTAAAATTGCATATTTTTTTATTTTTTATTTTTATTGCTTAGATTGTTGGACGAGCTCACAGCCCACCTGGTGTTAAGTGGTTACTGGAGCCCATAGACATCTACAACGTAAATGCGCCACCCACCTTGAGATATAAGTTCTAAGGTCTCAGTATAGTTACAACGGCTGCCCCACCCTTCAAACCGAAACGCATTAATGCTTCACGGCAGAAATAGGCAGGGCGGTGGTACCTACCCGCGCGGACTCACAACAGGTCCTACCACCAGTAATTACGCAAATTATAATTTTGCGGGTTTCACTTTTATTACACGATGTTATTCCTTCATCGTGGAAGTCAATCGTGAACATTTGTTGAGTACGTATTTCAATAGAAAAATTGGTACCCGCCTGTGAGATTCGAACACCGGTGCATCGCTTCAACACGAGTGCACCGGACGTCTTATCTTTTAGGCCACGACGACTTCAATTAAATTTAAAATTATACGACTCAATGGAAGTCAAAGTTTTTATTAGTTTTGTTATTACTGCCCTTGTAGGCCCATGGACGTCAATGCCAGGGGTAGAGCCAAGCCACTGCCACACATGCTTTAAGCTTTGTTTCAAAATTTAAATTGTTTTTAAACTAGAGTATATTGCAACGCGGCAGAAACAGGCAGAACAATGACATGCCCAACTCCACTGAATATGTCCGATGAGGTTTTGGCTGGAGTGGTCTTAGGAATTGTTTGAGATGAAACCATCATCTCGTTTTTACCATCGCACCGCACGCCACCGGAGTAAAGTTCATCCATACTACCTGGAGCCACTGCGGTCTTCCACAGTGCGCTTCCAGAGAGTATTTTTTGCCACGTACCATCCGGCTTTGGAATGAGCTTCCCTCCACGGTTTTTCCTCAGCGCTATGACATGTCCTTCTTCAAACGAGGCTTGTGGAAAGTACTTAACGTTAGGCAGCGGTTTGATTTTGCCCCTGCCATTGCTGACGTCCATGAGTGACGGTAACCACTCACTATCAGATGGGCCGCGTGCTCGTCTGCCTGTACAGGGCAATAAAAATAAAAGTCTGCCTTGTGTGTTAAGCTCGCGACATCACTACAGTTAATCCCAGGTATTTTACGATTGACACGGGTTTGTCAAAGGGCTAGACACCGAATTTTATCTATGACCTACAGGGACGTATTTAGAATTTTAAGACGCACGTATTTAGAATTTTAAGGACCTCTTGTGAGTCCGCACGGGTAGGTACCGCCCCGCCTATTTCTGCCGTGAAGCAGTAATTCGTTACGGTTTGAAGGGTGGGGCAGCCGTTGTGACAATACTGAGACCTTAGAACTTATATCTCGAGGTGTGTGGCGCATTTACGTTATAGATGTCTATGGGCTCCAGTAACCACTTAACGCCAGGTGGGCTGTGAGCTCGTCCACACATCTAAGCAACAAAAAAAAAACGCACTTCACTATACTATTATCTCAATTATTTTATTCAATAGATTATTTTTGTTTTGAAGTCGTTCTAAGCTTCAAAGTATGTGTTGAATTATTTAGAACAATTCAAATAATACAAAAGTTTCAGATTTTTTTTTACTGTATTTATTTTTACTAGGTGTATTCATACATAGATGGCGCTGCAATAATCTTCTTAAGTGTTGGTTGAAGAAACAAGTTATGGCGCTCTAGAAATACGAATAGTGTGAATTACTTGCTCTTTCAGTAGATTCGTGATCAAGATATTGATCACATAGACTAATATGGTTATATCTATGGTATTTCAAATCAATCAAAAAGACAGTGAGGGTTACCTGGTACCTTTTGTCGTCAACGCGAGGAGCAGGGTTGAAGTGTGAATTATTGTATTTTGTTATTTTGGTGTTTCTTATTAACTGTTTAGCATCGGTGGAGAAAAAGGAAATAAAGTCGCTGGACGTGGCCTCTTGGGTTCTCTTAAAAAGTCCACTGAAGTAAATAGCCATACTGAGCCTTCATATCATTCCATCTGGTTTCATTAAATTTCATCTCAACTGGTTACAGTCAGAAATAACTCAACATCATCTCATTTTGCTTCGTTTTATTTTTCAAATAATATTTAGAATGTACATGAAT